GTCGTAAATTATGAGGATGGTAAGGATGATACGACTACCGTCGATGAATCTGGTACTTCCGGTGAATTAAAATGGACGGAATTGTCTGCTGTCTTAGATCATTTTTTCCTGATTGTAATGGTTATAATTACAACAATATCATCCATCATATTTATGATATCACTGGCAGCTGGAGGCAAAATCAACACATAACCGAATTCATACCGGTAATAATCATGGCATCCATTTTTTAAGTATAGTTTTGTAGAAATGACTTTAGTGGGGAAAATCTTCTTAAGGCTGATTCCCAGATTTTATTTCCTATAGTACCATTGTCATTTTTTCTACAATGTCATTTTTCGCATCTGCGAAGCTTCTTCAATATAGTCTTTTTGTTCAATCTTTGCAGGGTGAATTTTGATAAATGTTTAAATTGTCATCTGCAAAAGAGTAACTAGAATTGAATATTAAACTCTGTAACCTTTTCGAAATTAGTTTATAATACGTGTCTTTGTAAAACTTCAAATATTTACAGTATTTTCTTTTGTACCTTGATCTCAAATGGAGAAAACTATTATAAGTCCTTGGCCGGCTGTTCAATCCATATTCCCACTGTATACTTCTTTGTATATTATGAAACAGCAATTATGATTATAATTGAATTTATGTATTGAATGCGTTGTTTATGTATTAAATACATTGTATTTACATGTGTGCGATGGTTTATGTAATATACATTGCAGGCTGAGATTTTACGCCGGTGGTATACGAAATTCCAGCCAATGATTAGCGGGCTAGGATCACGTGGACAGCTGAGCTGTTCACTTGTATTTTTATTCCCGCGCTGTCCACAGTATTTTTGGAATCACGTACATTTGAAGACCCGCCACCGCTCCTGCAATCCTACCTCTCGCATTTTTATAAATTGCATAAGGTGGATTTTTGTAATTATCAATATGGCCCAGTTGGTTTTGATGTGTCACCCCTTTTGTTTTGATGTGCCATCTTTTTGCTATATTTTTCTTTAAATGTTTGATCTTATTGTTTTATAGGAATTTTTTCTAGTCATTTTTTGGGGGATCAGACATTTTTCATACTTTACGTAATTTCAATCGGAGCTTGTGAGTCTGATCCCCATTCTTTTGTATAAAGTATTTTCTTTTATATCGTCATTTAAATAAATGACATTATTCATCTCTGTGAATTGTTTGAGTTAATCTTTAGCAAACTAAGCAAAAACTAGCTGCGGTGAGCCTACCGAGCATTTGAAGACATAAATAAAATACTTCTTAAACTAACTAGAATAGAATCAATAATTGATGAGCATTGCTGAGGGGAATTGTTATAAAAAGTTATAATCATAACGTGTTGTGAAATGTCTTCTGATATGTTCCTTTAGACATCCACGATTTGAAATCCACCATCCTATGCCCCCTCCCCAATTGAAGATTTACTTCTATTATTTTTTAGTGACTAAATGGAACTTCTAATGAGGCAAACCTTTTTCTATAATGATATTGATATCAACCTTTAATGGTATTTCAAAAATTGACGGAGAAGTACATGTTTAATAGTCATGTACAATGATACAATGAGAACACATGTTCATTTGCAAATTTTCTAAATAATTACAATTGACCTACAGTTTGTGCGTTAATGATTTCATATTTAAGTTATGTTTTTTTTTTCGATTTGTCAGATGGATCTATGAATTTAAACGAAGGTTTTTCGATGTCAATCTTCGTTATACTACTCACTAGAAATTTCAAATAAGCATAATATAATGTGTAAAACATTTGTTTTGTTGATGTGTGAAGTTTCATTTCATTCGATTAAACAGAAATCAATTTACTTCATTTTAAAATCAACATGCTTTGTACCTGCGGAGCACACTTAATGCCAATGTAACGTCAAAACATAGAGTCAAGAATTTCTAAAAAAAATACTATCCCCATACATTCCACACATTATAATCCAATGCCCATTCATTAAATCCTTTTTCTTATACTTGACATTAATTGTTTAAAGAATTTCTCTTGTATAATTTCCTTTTTAAGGTTGTTATTTCTTTTATCACTGAACTCTGCTTTCACAGGATAAGCAAGTCTGGAGCGCCTATGTCTTTCCTTGACGTTCCAGTTTTTTTTTTTAAGTTTTTGATTAGATTTTATCAGATAAACCGTTTCTTCACAGATTGTCCTCATCTGATACAGAGTCTCTGTCACTCAAATACTGTCTGTATACTATTTGTACACACAGACACAACTTCCTTGTGACATATTTTTTTATTCCTCCAATATTTTTTTTAGAGTTTATTCAGGATTTTTCCAAAATGGCATCGTTATCTGCTGCTCCGTGACGTTCTAAAACGTCATCGGTTTTGTCGTTTTCTATGAGGACTGCCTATCTTCTCAAGTTGATTTTTTTTTTCAACAAAGCAAAATATTAAAACATAATTTGGAATAAGAATCGATGTAACAATTCTTACTTTGAATTTCTAAGGTTTTTTTCTCGGTTTTGTTTCATTTTACAGAGAATATGACTAAAGACATCATTTAGTGTATTGTTTGTAACTTACTAAATTTTGGCCTGCTCCGCGATCCGATTTTTGCATTTTAAAATCTGGATACGTTTTGAATAAATTGTGATATTAAAAAAAATAATAATACAAATCATTTGAATTTATTGTTTAAGTATATCTACCAAATTTGGATAACATATGACGTCCAAAAAAAAAAGATACGGCAGAAGTCCACGAACTTTTCGAACAACCCTCGTACATTCAAAAGTTATTACAATTACTAGTATTCTGATGAAAATGCAGTAATTACTCGTACATTTGTCTTAAATATGTAAATTAAATGATGCTGGCGAATTCATGTTCTAGATGTTCCAGATTATTAATTCTATATGTTAAGTTGGAAATTAACGAAATTAAAGGAATTTTTCCAAAAAAAGTTTTAATTTTTTTTTGTCATGAACTCATACCTTCTGATGAGTTAGATAAAGGAAAATACAAAAAAAAAAAATGTGCAAAAAATTAATCCTATTATCCGATGTATGATACTTTGACAACAAATTTGCGGGAAAATTGTCAAATCATTATGCATTAATTTATCAAAAAATACTTTTCATGCACGTTATCAATTAGCAACAATATAAATAATATTCCAAACATTTCTGAATGCACAAATCGTATACAGTATAATAGATAACAGTCTAAGGTCACCTTTTTGATTAGAACGTCAAAATAATTCCTGAACATGGCGTTCTTTGAAAGTGTCCTCTTGTTCTTTTCTACTTCGTGTATTTTAACGTGCAATGCGGAGACAGGTTTCGTAGACGGTAAAATGAATCTGATTTTAGAAGAAGAATTGAATTCATTACGGAAGACCGTTTTTGCGCTCGAGAACATGGTTCATCACCAAAGTGACCTTATTGGTGACCTCAAAGAACGAAATATTCTCCAAGAAAGACGAATATCAGAACTAGAAGCTGCCCGACATACACAAGACAACATCTGCGATGAGATGAAAATCCGACTGGAGAAAACAGAATCTAGATTACACAGCCACTTTTCTGTGTCTTCAGGTCCTACCAACATTACAACAAAATCACCTGAAGAAGATATCCCCGATGGAAGAATAGTTAGATCAGGTAAGTTCTATTTAAAAAAGATGAAACTCAAAAAAATGTCTTATTTACAGCATTTTCTTTCTCTCGTTCTTCTCTTTCTTTTTCTCTCTCATTGAACAAGTTTTTTTCTCTCTCTCATTCTCTGTCTTTCTTCTCGATAGGGACTTTAAACAACATACAAGCAATCAATATCTCTCCCTCTCAACAAAAGTCTTTTATCTTTTAACATGCCTCTATCTATCTCTCAACATGTCTCTTTTTGACACAGGACGTCTTCTGATGAATACCATTAGCAATGGAATGCCATCGTATGAGGAGGGCGTAATAGCTTTTTATGCCCAGATGTCCTCATCAGAAATAAGTCCAGGCGCTCACCATACGCTCATCTTCGATAAAGTACGCACTAATGTTGGCAACGGATATAATGGAGTCACAGGGGTCTTTACTGCACCAAACGAGGGAATCTATGCATTTATCTGGGTCATTAGAATGCTTAATGCCGAACATTCCACAGAGTTAATGATTAACAACGATATCTTAGGTGCTACATTTTTGCGCGCCAAAAACAATGACGACGGATCAGTGAGCGGCACCGCTATTGCGCATGTCGCGAAAGGAGATGTTGTATTCGTGCGCATCCATTCCACGTATGCTGGGGATGGCAACGTCTTTAGCAATCTGCATGGCAAGCCAACATTTTCCGGGTGGTTACTGCACTAGTTTATAAATGGGATCACGGTACTTTGTTTTTCTAAGATAACTTTTTTATTAACATTAATATTTCAAATCGTATTTTTCAGGGGGGTGGGTGGGTAAAGAATTGCCATAGCGTGATATATTAAGAAAATGTTTAACTTAGTTTTAGACCGAATGAATTGTTTAATTTTGCATTCTGTTCAAAGTTAACAAAAATGCTTATCATTTTCGATCTCTTTAGCAGAAAGAATTCTTTCATTTCTGTTGACATAGATGTTAAATTAACTTCATTAAAAGAACATATTCACACCAGTCTCTCCATTTGTGTCATTTACTTAATATCCCTTTTATGGGCCATGATATAATTGTTACACAGTAAATACATCCAAAGTTCTAGAAGCACATTAGGGATTTGCTAGATAACTTCTTGTTTACGACCACGTGGCGCTGTGGATAGAGCGTCTGCTCTGAAGTTGCGAAGTAAGGAGTTGACCCTCACGTTGCGGGTTCGAATCCTACTGTGGGCCGTGGAAACCGGTCCTTCGGATGAGACCATATAAACCGAGGTCCCGTATCGCAGTAGGTGCTGGCACGAAAACAGATCCCTCCCTGCTCAATGGCCCTGTGTGCTGAATATAAGACAAAATTTGCAGCTCTCCACTGGCAAGTGGTGGCGTCTCCATATGTAGATGATTCAAAAATTCTCGAGAGGGACGTTAAACAAAATATATACGTATGCTATAATGAATAATGTAATATCTTAAAAAAACTTGTTCCTGTGTTGTTTTATACGAAAAAAGTCTAACATTTCAAATGTTTTGATGAGTGGGCATAAAAAAGATCTATGTTTGACCGCTGGGTGATTTGTTGGACTGGTCGATGAGATGTTGGACCGCTTACGTTAAAGAATGGACGGGGCTTAATCTTATTTTCATTCGTTTGCGTTCAACAGTGACGGACCTGAGGTTACATGACAAAAGACAGTACAAAATACGTGTATGGCAAAAAAATATAAATAAAATGAAAGGTATAACAAAACACGTACTAGTTTTGACGGTGTTATCGGGCAACATGCGTTTTGTGGACTATAGATGCCATGGGCCTAACGACCCCAGTCGGACAGTTTGGTTCTTGGGTCCGACAAAACACATATTGCCCTCGAACTCAGTCAATAAATGTATAATACTATAACGGATGATTGAGTGTTACTTTATGATCATCAATAAAATAAAATCGATTAATCATGCATTATATGTACATACATTGTTATTGTTGAAAGTCAGAATCCATGATTTCTCTGAAAAGTCATTTTTGTTAGATAAGGATTTCTGGTCCGTTATATACTGTGTGAAAAGATTTCTGGCCGATCAGAAACCTTTCAGCCTTTAACCATCAAAAGTGCTGAATATTTATTCTCTTTAGAGAATTGGACAGGCTTTCGCCTACACCCACTTCTCTTCGCAGGCCGTCATGTTGTTATTCTGGAAAACGTATAAATGAAGAACCGGAGACGGCCTACACTTCAACTAACATTTCGTCTGAAATATGTCTGATTGTTCGTAAGATACATGTTATATTAACAATTTCAACATAAGTAAACTCAAATGTCACCAGAAAACAAACCTTTACAAATCTTTTATCCATATTTACAACTTCTCATTCCCGGATTCAAACTCATGCTTTTCTACCATGGCTTATTCTAAAAATGTGAACATTAATCTAAGTCGGATAAATTGGAAAACATTGTTATCATTATTATAATTCTACCTTTTCAGAAAAACGAAACTAAAAGAGATTTAAAACCAATTTCAAAATAATAATTGAACAAAATTTGAGGAATTAATGCCTCGTTAAATTAAATAAAATAGACAATTTCTACCGTTTCATTATGACCTTTTAAAAAATATATCCAATTTTATCCGAATCAGAGTTTTTGTGATCCTTCTAGAGTTATTTGCTCATAATTTGAATCCGGGAAGGAGAACCAATCCCAACTTCTCGGGCCTTTCCGACTAGCGGAAAAACGACCTCGAATGTGTATGGTAGACGCCATGACAACCCTCCTTTTTCACGATCTTTGAAATAAATGCATGGAGACCTTTTATCTATAGAATATTAAGTTTAAACTTTATTCAATGTAATGATATTACCTAAAATATACTATAGAAGAGACTTCTAACTCCCCCTATCCTACATTTGACTAAACAGGAAATGTATAAATTTTTAACATCCGGCGATGTTAATACATTCGAGGTTGTTTTTCCGATCTCTGACGGAAAGACCTGAGATGATGCGATTGGATAGAGAACTTGTGAAAATGGATTAATAACTCATAAAGGTTGGTTTTCTTGTGACAGTTGTATGTAATTATGTCGAATTTGTTAATTTCACAAGTCTGTTACATATGATCAGACATATTTTAGATAATTTTCTTGTGACAGTTGTTAGTCAGCCCCGGGCTGACTAGTTATGTTAGGATGAAACTGCAAGTGCGCTTGTGTTAACCGGAATTGTGGGAAAAAGATTTGCACAACTTTCTCCAACCAGAGGGGGGGGGGGGGGGGGTAGTGGTTAACTTTTTTTCAAGGCCAACTTCCTTTCACTTACATTTTTTTCCATACAATACTACATATCCTTCATATCATTATACTTTGGTAAGAAGTGGGGGGATCCAACCTTTCAACAGACATTTCCAATAGTAAAGGTAATGTTGGGAAAAAAGTGGGGGGCAGGGCCCCCTGGCCCCCCTGTTGCTACGTCCTTGAAAACATCAGAAGACCACTGTAAAACAGTAAATTCTCAGAATTTGAGAAACTGACCACAGTGGAGATGCGGTAGCTGAGAGAACTGTGCTGATTTATAGACAGGGTCAACACCCCCCCCCCCCCCCCAATGAAAGGAGAGATAGAGGGGGAGGATGGATTCCGGTATTTTAATCTATAGTTTTGCTATGATGGTAGACATCATCAGACATTTTAAGTATACGTACTGCATGTATGACCATATTTTGAATTTCCATTTTAAATTGTTTTCCGTGGTGTTCATTATTTTTTAGAAGCAATTCTTTTCTTTCCTAATAACACTAAAATGGATGCTCAAACACAGAAATTGAATTAAATATACATGCAGTATGCCCCCCCCCTTCCACATCATGCATTGCCTCGAAATGAACAACTGAAAACTGTTATTTAATAATATTTAAAAACAATCTAACACAAAGTCTACCTTCCTTTTATTCATCATAATCTATATCATTTTTATAGAATTTAATGTGATCTTAGTTGCCATGTTGGCTTTTGTTCATTTACCGGTATGAGATGAACTTTCTCTGATGTCTGCGCCGAAGAGAAATTATTGGAGATCATTGTAATGATCACGATGCAGACTAGCTAAAATTTATACTATGTTTTATTATTTATTGTGTACAGCATTATGTTACAAATAAGAAAACGATTACAAGAATTTAACTTTTCTTACAATGGCATTTATTACATTTAAGGAGCACAACATGATGGATAGATCAAATCATATACCATTACAAAACAAGAAAGAAACTTTCAGTATTCCAGTGGCTGTCCCTCAGCTTTTTTAAAAATAGCTAACCTTGTAACTAATTATGTTGAATTTGTTGATTTCACAAGTCTGTTACATATGATCACACATATTTTAGACGAAATGTTAGTTGAAGTGCAGGCCGTCTCCGGTTCTTCAGTTGCACGTTTTCCAGAATAACGGCCTGCGAAGAGAAGTGGATGTAGGCGAAAGCCTGTCCACTTCTCTAAAGAGAATAGCTGAATATTATGTAACTTTTAGGCCTGAATATTAGTCAATCTGAATATTGCAGAATTTCAATTAATAAACATGACTTGGGACTGAAGTTTTATTTGTCTCTGTATGAAATGTTCTCTTTCTGAAACAATCAATCAAAATACATCTTATTAGCAGCTGGCAGATGACGTCATCATTTATAATAAGTAGGATGATTCTTTTCACAATAGTGACCTTAAAATCTTCAAAGAAACTTATTTCTTCTTCCATAAATGTGTTCAATAGTTATTATATATGACTACAAGTAGTTTGTTTGGAACTAGCAATATAAAACGTATATATTTAATTATTTTAATACATAATGTGTTAAAAGAATGCAAAAGTACAATGAATTTGTGAACACGGTAATCTCTGGCTATCAATTTTCCATGAAACATGTCATCATCTGTTTTGTTTTTTTTTAAAATTGAAATAATAAATCCTACTATTAGTAATATATTAAATCTTAATGTGGACAGAAAAGCTTAACAAAATATAATCATTTAAAAAATCTAAAAAATTATAATCCTTTTAGTATAAAGGAGTGGACCGCGTCATAAATTTCGAGGGAAAATAGTCCTACACTCTAAAGAATTATCAACAAATATTGGTATCAAGTTAGTTGTCGACTAGCAATAACATATTTTTTTTAATTCTATTGTATAAACAAATTGTAGTCGTTATATACACGTAAAATTGCAACACATGTGCGCCATATGATACTCAAAATACATGTTGAAGGGAGTGTCAATTTCACTTGTATAACAGATAATGGTCAAAAGCTACCTTTCGGTTATCAACGCCAGAGTAATAATTATTGCATCCAACACGGCGTTCTCTGAAGAGCTACTCTTATTACTCTTAACTTCATGTTTTTTCACATACAACGCAGAGACAGGATTTGAAGAGAGTAAAATCAATTCGCTTTCTGAAGAACTAACTTCCTTAAGGAAGACTGTTTTAGCCCTAAAGAACATGGATAATCGCCAAAATGACCTTATCGGTGACCTCAAAGAAAGAAATACTCTTCAAGAAAGACGCATTACAGAACTAGAAGCTGTCCAACACAGGCGAGACAAAGTCTGCGAGGAGATGAAAGTCCGACGGGAGAAAACAGATAATAGATTAAACAGACACTTTTCTCCTTCTTTGGACACCAAGAACACCGCAGTTAAATTACTTGGGAAAGAAAACCATAAAGAAAGAATAGTGAGATCAAGTAAGTTATGTTTTTTTTTAATAGAATGGCATGAACATCCAAAAAAATATATCGCATATCAGATCTAGATGAAAATTCAGAAATTAAAACAATTCTTCCTGACATTTTAATACGCATTTTTATGTCCCAAATGAAAGAATTTTCAGGGGTAAATAGTTTTTGTCCTGTCTGTCAGTCTGTTTGTCCGCAAAAACTTTAACCTTGCCAATAACTTTTGAGTGGGTGGGGCTATGGCTTTTACATTTCTTTGGGTACCACTAAATTTGACCTCTAGACCTTGGAGTTTGAATACCACTTTATCCTTGGCCATAACTTTTAAACAGTTAAAACTAGGGTTTTCATACGTTGCATGTGTATTCATGGTGACAAGACCTTTCAGTGAGTATAAATAGTATACTCTCTGTTAACCTTTGACATTCAGTAAGGCGATGTATTCTCGTTACATAATGAGCGTCTGAAATTAACACATCGTTTCATTCACTGTTGAAACATACATGTGAAAGAAATTCGGGCGAATGTCAACGAGTGTAGCAAGTATCCAGTAACAGCATTCTACGGAAAAGAGGTGGGGCTAAAGCCATCTCATCTTTGTCAACAATATTTTAAAGTTGTTGATGTCATTAATTTCTTAACCAATGAGAATCTATTCCCATTTGAGAGACGCTAACTACGTAGGTCGAGAATGCCACACCTTAATGAAAGTCAAAGGATGACAGAAAATTGTACTATTTTTGACCTTTTGACCTTAGAGTTAACCAACTGTTTAAAAACTTTAACCTTGGCCATTACATTTGATCAGTTAGAACTAGGGCTTTCATATTTCACAGGTCTTTTCCTTGTAAGAAGACCTTCCTTTGGATACCAACAATTCTGACCTTGACCTTTAGAGTTTGACATGCATTTTAGAAGATTCAACCTTCTCCATAAGCTGCCATACGAGACCATCAGTGTTTCACAAACACATCTTGTTGACAGGGAATCTGCATAAGAATGCAAGGAACAGTGGAAAGCCCCCGTATGAAAAAGGCGTCATCGCTTTTTATGCCCAGATGTCCTTCATAGGTGTTCGTCCTGGCGTTCGCCATATCTTCATCTTTGATAAAGTACGAACTAATGTTGGCAATATAATGGTTTCACTGGGGCCTTTACTGCACCAAAAGAGGGAATTTACGCATTTATCTGGGTTGTTAGACTGCATAAAGCTGAGCGCTCAACTGAATTAATTGTTAACAACGAGAATTTAGGGGCTACATTTTTGCGCGCCAAAAACGGTGACAACGGATCAGTGAGCGGTACTGCTACTGCGCATGTCGCGAAAGGAGATGTTCTTTTTGTGCGCATCCATTCCACGTATGCTGGGGATGGCAACGTCCATAGTAATGTGCATGGCAAACCAACATTTTCCGGGTGGTTACTGCACTAGATTGTTGTCACGATAATTTGCTTGTTGTGACTAAACTTTTAATAAACTTCAATATTCTTAATTTTTATTAACATTCACTTCAGAATATATATTTCAGGGTTGGCGGAAGAGGTTGAAGAATTGGTCTTTGTTTTTGTCTATCTGAAGGACACATAAGTGTTATCTACTGAGCAATGAATTTAATATTTGTATATTGGCTGAAGCAATTATTGATTTAATATTAAACTCTGAAATAAACAAAATTAAAAAAAAAATTTTACTCTTTAAATTTGTGAAAGGAGTTCTCTAGGATTTCTTTGGTGACATAAGTCCTCAGTTTAATACAATAAAATAGAATATGCATACAGGTATCAATCTTTCCCAACGTTTGTCACTGTGTACTCAATGTTATCACTGTTATATTATGGGTCATATAATGCTGCCAGATTTTTGTGGCAAATATTGCTAACTGCAGACCTGCCTACCCTTTTGTTGCAGAGGTGTAAGGGTGTAACTTGTCTCCTAATCTATTTATCATTGTGATTTTACAAAATCTAAATCAAACTCTATGTTGTACAGTATAACATTAAAATAACATGGCAAAAATTTTTCGAACCATTTATTGATGTCAATCATTTGTACGATGCATACATTGTTTGTTTTCTGGGAAGACAATATTTCTACTCTGCTGTTAAGGGAAACCCAAAATATGTGTCCGATCAAAAAGTAAAATGGAAGTTGCATAATGTCATTACTTAGTAAAATTTCTGTGAAAGTCTCATTAAATTCCAAGCGATGGATACCCCAGAGAGTAACGGACGGACACTCTGATCACTATATACACCCCCTGTTTTCAACCGGGAGCTATTAAAAGTTATGGAAATGTGTCATTTACTTTGCCTTTTCCCCTATTAAAGATGCACTTCAATCATTTTTTAAATGCCTCAATGGACTTCCAATGGCACAAACTGCTTTTTCTTTTGTGATAATATTATCAAACCTTAATGATATTTCAAAATACTACCGAGGAAATGCATATGAATATTTATGTACATGTACAATGATACAGTTAAAAACAGATTCATTTACAACTGTTCTAAATAAATGGTCCTACAGTTTGTGCGCTAATGATTTCATTTTTTTTATTTGTCATGTGACGAGATTCAACAGTTATTGCAATTTTTTCTGATGAAAAAACATTACATTTGTCGTATCGTTTAGTGAAAATTATTTATAATGATGCTGGGGAATTTTATGTTATCGATGTTTCAGATTACTAGTATTCATATGTTTAGTTGGAAAATAGCAAAATTAATGGAATTCTTCCATAAAAATATTTTTTGATATCAAATTTATATTAAATTGTAAATATCAAGTAATTATAAGATGTAAAACAGTAAATAATAAAAACTGTTTTAAATTTAAATGTGTTGTAAACGTTCATGACATATGGATGTACAAAACAGTATCGATTCGAAGTCACGCTTTAGCCTACATTTGTACAATGTGTTTTACAAAGATGCTGTCGACTGCTTTGAAATTTTTTAGTTTATTTTTTTTTTTTTAATTTAAATAGTCTTGGTTTTAAGTCGGGAAGAATAAACCATAATGCTTGTAAATGGTTTGAAGATTCCTAAATTATTTCATGTGCATTCAACAATTATCCCAGTCTGCAATAATAATTAAACATAACTGTGTGGCATGAAATTAATTTTAAAAAAATGAACCTGTATTAACGAGATTAATATAGTTTCCTGTTGGAAGTGTACAATTTTAATTTGAACGATGTAGCTTAGGGGGTGTCAATATTTACATGTGAATTTCTGACATATGATACTTTGTCGGGGGGGGGAGGGGTTTGAAAAGTCGTACATTTTTGAGGGGGAACGTGTCATTCCATTATTGATTAATAATGATTATTGAATTTACGTAGCAAAAACTACTTTTTAAACACGTTATCAATTGGCAACAATATATTATTGAACTTTACTGAATGAATTACTCGTAATCGGTATAATAGATAACGGTCAAATGTCAGATTTTTGATAAGAACGTCAAGATGATTCCATTGAACATGGCGGTCTTTGAAAGTTTCCTCTTGTTCTTCGCTACAACGTGTATTTTCATGTGCGACGCGGAGACAGGTTTGGAAGAAAGTAAAATGAATCTGATTTTAGAAGAATTGACCTCATTAAGGAAGACTGTTTTTGCGCTCGAGAACATGGTTCATCACCAAAGTGACCTTATTGATGACCTCAAAGAACGAAATATTATCCAAGAAAGACGAATATCAGAACTAGAAGCTGCCCAACATAGAAAAGACAAAGTCTGTGATGAGATGAAAATCCGACTGGAGAAAACAGAATCTAGATTACACAGCCACTTTTCTGTGTCTTCAGGTCCTACCAACATCACAACTAAATCAACTGGAGACGATATCCCTGAAAAAAGAATTATTAGATCAGGTAAGTTTTACTTTGAAGAGATGGAAATTTAAAAAAAATTGTTATCTGTAGCACTCTCTCTCTCTCTCTCTCTCTCTCTCTCTCTCTCTCTCTCTGAACAAGTTTCTCCCTCTCTCTTCTCGAGAGGGACGTTAAATGACATACAAGCAATCGCTATATCTCTCAACAAAAGTCTTTCTCTTTTAATTAAATAATAATCCTCTATCTATCTCTCAACATGTCTCTTTTTTGACACAGGACGTCTACTGATGAGTACTAGGAGCACTGGGATGCCTCCGTATGAGGAGGGAGTCATCGCATTTTATGCCCAGATGTCCTCATCAGAAGTTAGTCCCAGCACTCACCATACGCTCATCTTCGATAAAGTACGCACTAATGTTGGCAACGGATATAATGGAATCACAGGGGTCTTTACTGCACCAAAAGAGGGAATCTATGCATTTATCTGGGTCATTAGAATGCATGAGGCCGAACATTCAACAGAGTTAATGATTAACAACGATATCTTGGGTGCTACATTTTTGCGCGCCAAAAACAATGATGACGGATCAGTGAGCGGTACAGCTATTGCGCATGTCGGGAGAGGAGATGTTGTATTTGTGCGCATCCATTCCACGTATGGTGGGGATGGCAACGTCCTTAGTAATGTGCATGGCATGCCAACATTTTCCGGGTGGTTACTGCACTAGATTGTTATTGTTATCACGATACTTTTTAAATAAACTTTAATATTTCAAAATGTATCTCTCTTTTCTTTTCTTTTCTTTTTTTTTTTGGGGGGGGGAGGGGGGTGGTAAAGAGTTCGCGTCAGCTTAAGGCATTTAGCAACGCTTAACTTTTGCTTCAGACCCAGGAGATTGTTGAATTTGCATCCTGCTCGTGGGAAACAAAAATTCATATCATTTTATCTTTTTTGTAGAAAGAATTGCTGATTTCTGTTGACATGTACACGTATTTTTAATTCACTCCATAAAAAGAACATACCGGTATTCATATCAGTCTCTCCATTTGTGTCATTTACTTAAATATCCCTTTTATGGGTCACATGGTATCCATGTAAATACTTCCAGAGTTCTATAGGCAATTACGAAGTTGCTAGGTAACTTTTTGCTTGTGTTATGACATTAAGTAGACAACATTGTTTTACAATGGCTATAATACTATACTACGGAAGCGTATTAATGCCACGCAATATTTTTTTTTTAAGTTGGTATTTCCAACTTTAAAGTTTATAATTCCAATTCTAAAGTTTGAAATTCCAACTTTAAAGCTGATAATTCCAATTTAAAGTTGGAAATTCCAACTTTAATCTTGGCTTTTCCAACTTTTAACTTGGAATTAAAGTTGGAATTAACAACTTTAAAGTTGGAATTTCCAAGATTAAAGTTGGTATTACCAAGATTTAAGTTGGAATTTCCAAGATTATAGTTGGAACTACCAAGTTTAAGTTGGAATTTCTAACTTTAAAGTTGGAATTACCAACTTTAAAAAAAAATATTGCGTGACACTAATACGCTTCCGTACTATACAGATGATTGAGTAAATCCATGATCATCAATAAAATAAAAACCTGTTAACAATGCATAATATGTATACATTGTAATCGATGAAAGTCAGAATGCATGATTTCTCGGAATAGTTTTGATTTCTCTTGATAGTTTATCTTTGCTAGCTTATGTTTTCTGATCCGCTACCTTCCTACTGTGTGAAGAGATTCTCGGATCACAAAGCTTAACCATCGAAAATACTGAATATAACTTCTGAGCCAAAATATTAGTCAATCGGAATAAGGCAACAGTTTAATACTAGTAAAAACATAATTTGGGGACTGAATTTTTATTTGTGCCTCTTTACAAAATGTTCTCTTTCTGAAACAATCAATCGAAATATGTCTATGTGGTAGGCTGACTGGTGATAACTTAATTGCATTATTCTTTCACAATAGTAGTAACCTCAAAGTCTTAAAAGAAACATTTGTTCTTCCAATATTTGAATGTAATCATCTATGAACTACAAGAAGCATGTTTGGAACTCGCAATATAAAATTTATATTTAATCACTTTAATTTTTTTTAATGCAGAATTAATGTGATCAAAGAATGCAAAAGAACATTGACATTGTGGACACAATTATCTCTGGCTATTAATTTTTCATGAAACAAATCATCATTTGCATAAAAAATAAAATAATTTCTCCTGAAAGTAATATATTAAATCTTAATGTGGACAGAATAGCTTGACAAAGTATAAATATTTATATCATACTAAAATAAAATTTATTATCCTTTATGTAAAAAGGAGTGGACCGACATGTCATATATTACGAGGGAAAATATAGTCCTACAGTTTAGTAAATTATCAAAAAACAAACATTGTAATCAAGCTAGTTGTCGACTGGCAACAACATGTTTCAATTCTTTTGAATAAACAAATCGTAGTCGTTATATAAATGTAAAATTGCAACACATGTTCGTTATACTCAAAACATATGTTGAAAAGAGTTAAATTTCAATTTCGCTTGATTATTGAGGATACCTTTTGGTTTTAAAAACCAGAGTAAAAATTATTGCATTTAACATGGCGTTCTCTGGAGCTTTACTTTTGTTACTCTTAATTACGTGCTTTTTCACATCTAATGCAGAGACAGCATTTGAAGAAAGTAAAATTAATTCGCTTTCGGAAGAATTGACTTCTTTAAGGAAGACTGTCTTAGTCCTAAAAAACATGGTTAATCGCCAAAGTGACCTTATTGGTGACCTCAAAGAACGAAATACTCTTCAGGAAAGACGCATAACAGAACTAGAAGCTGCCCAACATAGACGAGACAAAGTCTGCGAAGAGATTAAAATTCGACTGGAGAAAACAGAAAATAGATTAAACAAACACTTTTCTCCTTCTTCGGACACCAAGAATACCAAAGTTAAATTAATTGGAAAAGATAACCATAAAGGAAGAATAGTGGGATCAAGTAAGTCATGTTTATCTATATAGAGTGACATGAAAACACAGAAATTTTATATCACGTATCAGATAAATAAAAACTCAGAAATCGCATCTGTAAAATTATCTCTCCCTCCCTCATTGTTAAATATGCATTTTTTTGATATAGGAAGTCTGCTGATAAATGCCAGGAACAGTGAAATACCTCCGTATGAAAAGGGTGTCATTGCTTTTTATGCCCAGATGTCCTCAATACGAGTTCGTCCTGGCGTTAGTCATACTCTCATCTTTGATAAAGTACGTACTAATGTTGGCAATGGATATAATGGCTTCACCGGGGTCTTTACGGCACCAAAAGAGGGAATTTACGCATTTATCTGGGTTATCAGACTGTATCTAGCTGAACGCTCAACTGAATTAATGGTTAACAATGATATTTTGGGTGCTACATTTATGCGCACCAAAAATGGTGACGACGGATCAGTGAGCGGTACTGCTATTGCGCATGTCGCGAAAGGAGATGTTGTATTCGTGCGCATCCATTCTACGTATGCTGGGGATGGCAACGTCCTTAGTAATGTGTATGGCATGGCAACATTTTCCGGGTGGTTACTGCACTAGATTGTGGATGTAATTTAATCACTATACTTTGCTTGTTGTTACTAAACGTTTTAGTAAACGTTATTATTTTTTTTCAACTATATTTCATTGTGTATTTTTCGGAAAGGATAAGGAATTGGCATTTATGTCTTCTATTGGAAGTTGAGACTGAGCAATATGTTTTACATTTGTGTATAGACCCACGCAATTGTTGATTTTTTATTACGCTCTATAGTTAAAGGTACATAATGAGTTGATATCATTTGTTTCTGTTAAGAAAATTGTAACCCAAAAAAAGAGTCATGTGAAATATGAATATAACGAGGTTTTGCAAATTAAAGTAAATATTTAGGTTCTGAAACCTGAAATTTTCTGAAACCTTAAAAACTGAGTATCTTCATGAACTGAACAGAATTTGCATGTGTCATGCTAAAATTCTACTTTTGTCAATTTTTCCGTCACAGTGTTACTTTAACAAAAAAGCAAATCATTTTCGATCTTTTTAGATCACCTGAGCCGAAGGCTCACGTGAGCTTCTCTGATCACATTTTGTCCGGCGTCCGTCTGTCCGTCTGTCTGTCTGTAAACTTTTCACATTTTCGACTTCTTCTCAAGAACCGCTGGGCCAATTTCAACCAAACTTGCCACAAAGTATCCTTGGGTAAAGGGGATTCAAGTTTGTTAAAATGAAGGGCCAAGCCCTCATTCAAGGGGAGATAATTGGGAATTGATGAAAATTTAGTGGCATATTTTAAAAATCTTCTTCTCAAGAACCACTGTGCCAGGAAAGATGAAACTTATGGGGAAACATCATCAGGTAGCGTAGATTCAAGTGTGTTCAAATCATGACCCCCGGGGGTAGGGCGGGGCCAAAATGGCCGACCAAAGTTTTACATAGAAATATATAGGAAAATTCTTTAAAAATCTTCTTCCCAAGAATGACAAAGCCATAATTCATTCATATTTATATGGGAGCATGCTCAGGTATTGTAGATTCAAGTTTGTTCAAATCATTACCCCCCGGGGTAGGGCGGGGCCAAAATGACCGACCAAAATTTTACATAGAAATATATAGGAAAATTCTTTAAAAATCTTCTCAAGAATAACAAAGCCATAATTGATCATATTTATAGGGAAGCATCCTCAGGTAGTGTAGATTCAAATTTGTTCAAATCATGACCCCCGGGGGTAGGACGGGGCCACAATGGCTGACCAAAGTTTTACATAGAAATATATAGGAAAATTCTTTAAAAATCTTTTTCTCAAGAATAACAAAGCCATAATTGATCATAATTATATGGAAACATCCTCAGGTAGTGTTGATTTAAGTTTGTTCAAATCATGACCCCCAGGGGTAGGGCGGGGACACAATGGCCGACCAAAGTTTTACATAGAAATATATAGGAAAATTCTTTAAAAATCTTCTCAAGAATAAAAAAGCCATAATTGATCATATTTATATGGAAGCATCCTCAGGTAGTGTCGATTCAAATATATAGGAAAATTCATCTTCTCAAGAATAGTAGAACCATAACTGGTCAAAGGTTTACTTTTGGATTTAAACTTTTCAATAATAAACCAATTTCTACTTTATTCCTAGCCACAGTGCTCAGGTGAGCGATGTGGCCTATGGGCCTCTTGTTAATAATGCCATCAAGCAAAAAAAAAAGTTTGCATATTCAAGCCTTTCAAAATAAGATACTGAAATTTTTTCTCCATAGCAAAAATTCCTTACTTTATAATTTTATGTTTAAAACGTAAAATGTGCTATTTTAGCGAACAGCAATTGGGCGAATTTATCTAAAAAGTTACCATTTATTTTTTTTAAATCATAATTAATTTTAAGCGATCCAAGGAATAATTTTATCTATTAATTATTTTATTTATTTGGATGATGTATGGGAATTATAAGCGACATCTATTTAGCGTTACCGAGTACATCGCTAACAAAACAAAATTATTACCTTGCCTTTTATTTCAAATTAACTTTAGTTCAGTTTTGGGTTAGTTAAGCCTCTAATAGATCTACAAGAAACGTGATTATTTTTATGTTCTTCACCTAATTTAGAATTCTATTACACGATAAGATAATACATGGATGTCCTTACATATGAGTTCAATCACCGAATATGGCACCGGTAAAGTTAACACATATGCATGAAGTTGTCTTTTTTATTTTGTTGCTTGCTTTTTAGCTCACCTGAGAAGGCTCAAGTGGGCTTTTCTGATCAAAGTTTGTCCGTCGTCTGTCGTCGTCGGCGTAAACTTTTCACATTTTCATATTCTTCTCAAGAACCATTGGGCCAGTTTTAACCAAACTTGCCACAAAGTATCCTTAGGTGAAGGGAATTCAAGTTTGTTCAAATGAAGGGCCACGCCCTCTTCCAAGGGGAGATAATTAGGTAATAGTGAAAAATCAATGGCATTTTTAAAAAATCTTCTTCTCAAGAACCACTGGGCCAGGAAAGATGAAACTCATGTGGGATCATTCTCAGGTAGTATAGATTCAAGTATGTTCAAATCATGACCCCCGGGGGTAGGGTGGGGCCAAAATGGCTGATCAAAGTTTTACATAGGAATATATAGGAAAAATCTTTAAAAATCTTCTTCTCAAGAACCACTGGGCCAGGAAAGATGAAACTCATGTGGAATCATCCTCAAGTAGTATACATTCAAATTTGTTCAAATCATGACCTCCAGGGATAGGGTGGGGCCAAAATGGCCGATCAAAGTTTTACATAGGAATATATAGGAAAAAATCTTTAAAAATCTTCTTCTCAATAACCACTGGGCCAGGAAAGATGAAACTCATGTGGAATCATCCTCAGGTAGTGTAGATTCAAGTTTCTTCAAAGAACTATATGCGGTATATTGCATATGTTTGCCCCCACAAAAGTCAAATTTTGAAAACTTCCTGAAATGTGCTGAATTCAATAAATTGTACGAGAAATATAAGTTAACAGAAAATATTATAGTTCCAGAGCAGTGTATTCACAATTTCTGTTTTTATGACGTCACAAACTAGTCCGATTTTATATCCTTTTTCAGAAAGAGGACAAAATGGACAAAATTTCTACAATTTAAGCTTTAGAATTTATAGAGCGCATGTGTGTTCAGGAACAATATTGACATATTTCATTGATACATGTATTATCATTCTACACATTATATCAAAATATTAATCCTGAACACACATGCGCTCGGTGACTTTTATTTAAAATATCGAAGAAATATGTACATTTTTCTGCAAAATTCATAAAAAACTGAAATTTACGTCATATTTGTGACGTCATTACGTACATATGACGTCATTACTTATGAAATTATTCAGTGCTTTGAAGTCAGCATATACTCCCCTGTTTAAGGACTTAATATAGGATTAAACGTTCTTTTTTCAGAATTTATCGATGTGTAAACTCTGCCTTTTTACTCACAAACTGAATAAAAGTGCGAAGCACTTTTATGTAAAGTTTGTGAGTAAAAAGGCAGAGTTTACACATCGATAAATTCTGAAAAAAGAACGTTTAATTCTTATAATTCCAATATGACGAATTTTTTTAATTGTTAAAATTATTTCTCTTTGAGGCCGCCATACAATCCGTTATTTTGTACGGCGTAGGAATACTTTATGCCGCAAAGAAACGTATACAAGATGAATATTGATAAAATCCATAAACAATCTATAAATTAAACTTATAAAAACTCATTGAATGTTGTTTAAGTCAACAAATATCGTAAATACGCGAATTAATTATCCAAAATAATTCGTCCTTGACTTCGCCATGTTGACGTCATGACGAAAGTTGAAGACCGACGACGTCCTCGATTTGTTCTGGTTCGTTCAAAGATTTAGGGAGAATATGGGATCTGTAGGATGTTAATATATGATTTGATGCTGAAAAGGCAAGAGTCTGAGGTACGTTTCTTTTCCCTATCACATTACGATACCAACTGAGTTGATATGGAACGTCGAGAAAATGACAGCATGATCAGCGATTTCAAAATATTTCACACTCGTGATCCGACATTGACATAAACATAATATTCCCGTCTGTCAGTCCTGTTTATCTCCTTTTCATTCATTAATTCATTTTTTATAAGTTTCTTGTAATCATAATTTAGCTAAAACGGACTAGAAGTATCTGTTTTCATTGTTTTTACAACAGTCAAGAAAGTAGTTCTGGTTGAAAAATTCATCGATGTGTAAACTTTTTCTTGAATTTGTTCTCGTCCAATCAAAACACAAGGAATCGATAAATAAAATTAAGATTGGAATTATTTAAATATTACTCCATCAAAGTTTGATTTTGGGGGGCAAATGTTGGTTAATACCGCATATAGTTCTTTTGACCCCCGGGGGTAGGGTGGGGCCAAAATGGCTGATCAAAGTTTTACATAGGAATATATAGGAAAAATCTTTAAAAATCTTCTTCTCAAGAACCACTGGGCCAGGAAAGATGAAACTGATTTGGAATCATCCTCAGGTAGTATACATTCAAATTTGTTCAAATCATGACCTCCAGGGATAGGGTGGGGCCAAAATGGCCGATCAAAGTTTTACATAGGAATATATAGGAAAAAATCTTTAAAAATCTTCTTCTCAATAACCACTGGGCCAGGAAAGATGAAACTCATGTGGAATCATCCTCAGATAGTGTAGATTCAAGTTTCTTCAAAGAACTATATGCGGTATATTGCATATGTTTGCCCCCACAAAAGTCAAATTTTGAAAACTTCCTGAAATGTGCTGAATTCAATAAATTGTACGAGAAATATAAGTTAACAGAAAATATTATAGTTCCAGAGCAGTGTATTCACAATTTCTGTTTTTATGACGTCACAAACTAGTCCGATTTTATATCCTTTTTCAGAAAGAGGACAAAATGGACAAAATTTCTACAATTTAAGCTTTAGAATTTATAGAGCGCATGTGTGTTCAGGAACAATATTGACATATTTCATTGATATTGTCATTCTACACATTATATCAAAATATTAATCCTGAACACACATGCGCTCGGTGACTATTATTTAAAATATCGAAGAAATATGTACATTTTTCTGCAAAATTCATAAAAAAACTGAAATTTACGTCATATTTGTGACGTCATTACGTACATATGACGTCATTACTTATGAAATTATTCAGTGCTTTGAAGTCAGCATATACTCCCCTGTTTAAGGACTTAATATAG